ATGAGAATTATATCATTTGAATAATTCAAGTCTGGTGGATTTTATCATGAGAATTATATCATTTGAATAATTATCATCAAGGGAGCTCAAGCTTGGTGGATTTTATCATGAGAATTATATCATTCATATTTAGGCATACATATATCAAGACAAAAGAAAGCATAAAAACATTTGTATGTTTAGTAGTGAGCAATTATTAGTGTACATAGTATCCACAATGAAACATTATTTTTTGGGAATGTAATTACCAAAAGCACAATTATATTATTTTAATAGATGTTCATTTTGCAATTACTAAATCTTCATTAATAATTTTCTCCATAGGAGAATCTTTTATTGATAATGTGAAAAAAATCTATATGTTTGCACCATATACAGTTTATTACAAATTGTTGAAACTTCATTCACAACTGACACAGAAATTGATTAACAAATACATATGTCATTTCAGTTATTAAAAAATGGCATGACAACTTTAAATCTTGTCAAACAAGTAATATGGACTGAACAAATATAAAATACATAAATTAATACTAATAACTATTCATCACATGAATAGATAATACATGAATTAAATTACATATTTTAATATTATAAATTGATAGTTACCTGAAATTGATTCTTTGCTTTTTAAATATAGGAGTCTCTTCTTCTAGTCTGGCATTAATAAAGCCTGCAGTTGTCTAAAGCAAAAGATATAAAGTTGTAATTTTTACACTACCCTTGGTATACTTGCTTTATAAAAAATAGTGTATAAAAAGTTCACTGCAAACATCAGCATATGTAAAAGATTCTATCCATTTAGTAAAAGTACACTTTTTAATACCAGGAACACCAAGTGTTCTTTCATTAAAACTTCATATTTCCAAAATTTAACCATAAATTACCAATGGGGTATTTTTGTAAATTATTTACATACTAAAATGTTTGTGGGTCCATGCCTTTAGCTACAGGATCCATAAATGGCCTACCAGAAAAAAAATACTTAAACAGAATATCACAAATATTGCAATGAACAATAATTATTACTGAGGTTTCTTACACATTTATATACAGAGTAAGTGATTTCACAATGTATTTTGTAAGTGCTTTACACTGGATGTTGTAACAAGCAAAACATAAAATTACTCAATACAATGCAGTATATTGTCCTCATAAGCAGTAAATACTATAAAAGCAAGTTGGTAATTTAAGGGTTAACCTTGACTTATAAATTCCCCACCTCTTTGAACTGACTCCAACCTCCACAAATTTGTCCTTCATGTAATAGAAATTCAAAAGGAATATTTCTAAGACACACCTATGATTTATTTCAAGCAAGCATCAAGTTTTAAAGTAAGAATTATTACAATGACAACATCAAGCAATGTCTTTATAAAAACTAGAGATTATTATTGTTGTATAATAAGACACTTTTACGCTGCTCATCAAGAGTGAATAGCTGATATCCATGACAACGAATAAAGTTTTTACCATTTAAAACTTATAATTTTATTCAAAACTTGTTAATTATTTTTTCAATTATCAATTCTTTTATTTGGTAATTAATCTTCTTTTGTTTATGATAAAGCCTGAATAGTTATTCTAAGTTAACTACATATTAAATGAAATTATGAAGAAAAAAGTTATGAATTAAAGTATTACTTCTATGTTTAACTATAAATAGAAGTCTATCTTCAGTTATGTTAATGAAAAAAATCTGAAATAATTTTATTTGGGTAAGAATATGATGTGAATGGAGTCCATTGTTAATATGATATTTAGTTTAAAAATATCAATTTGAATTTAAAGTCCAATGCTTTTGTACAAATAGTGAAAATAACAAAACCAGTCTTACAATGAATATCTTCTTGTTGCTTCCCTTTACATTATCAAATTATTTTTATCTGATGACTGAGTTACAATGCAATAGCTTTTCCCCAATACATTAATTCCCACACAAAATATAATTTTATGATACTCTTAATAATACAAAAAGATTCTATAAGCACAAAGAAAGAAGAGGAACAAACTGATAAATGGTTGTTGATCACTCCTGCAAAAAAAAAATATTCTGGCTGACACCATATTGTAAACAAACACATTTACTATCAAACTGAGCCATGATAAAACAGTGTTCATATGAATAAGAACTAGCTTGCCCTGAAAAAGTGCATTTATCAGATAGAGTAAAACATACTATTTCATAACAGGCTTTCATTTTTTGCAGTGAATGATAACTTCCATATTTATGGAAAGAAATAAGAATATTTTACATATTACGTACATACATGTCAGAAGAAAAACTGCAAACAGAGCAATTTGCTGCAGTTTCAGTTCTTCCAGCTATCAGTAGGAAACAAAAATGCAATTATCCATTAGGCTTGCTGAAATATTGGATCTAAGATAACTTTCAGGTAACTTACTTGCAACATTTGAATACTAACAATTCATACTGATTCTGCATAGGAGTACTATACAAAATATTATCTGAAATTTACTACTGAATTAAACCTAAAAGTTTGTTTACATAATGCTGTTTTCCAGTTTCTGAAAAGTTCAATTAGGTGTTACCTCTCACATATATGGTTAGTTCATTACCCTCCTGTTATTTGGCATTCATTTGCAGTTGTACCTATGAGATATATGGTGAGAAGTTTATGAAAATTGTTTTTTCCAAAATGTGGCTGTGGTAAAATAAAGATTGAAAATACGTCAGAATAAAATTATTTGTGATCACTGGGCTTATTTAAATTATATTTTCTATTTTGGTTTGTGTTTTATCAAAAAAGCAATAAGTAGCATGTTATTTAAAAACATCTCACTTAAGTGTGTATCTTGAACGTATATAGAAACAATGTGTTAAAAAGAAATCCCTCATATGATTGATAAGATTTGAAAACAAAATGCAATTGCAGAGTTAATGTTTTACCACTTATGAATGTAAAAAGCATTTCTGTTTTTGTCCTAAGCATGCCAGTAATGACTGAAAGTGTACAGACCCTATGTATAGCTCATTTCATGAAAAAGAAAATTGGAGAAACCCCATCAGTGACCACCCCCACTGAATGATCTATATTTAGCCAGTACTGGAGCTATGAAACTTTTTCATTTTTTATAGCAAAATAACTTCTTTTTGACATATCCCAAATCATTCCTAGTTGATTAAACCATATTTGACAGGTCCAATTGCAAGAGCCCAAGAGGAGTTAGAGGACAAACGAACAAACTTCCCTCAAATTATGGTAAATTACTTACATTTCAAATCAAAAATTTTCCTAAATTGAACAGCTAGGAAATTAGTTGAATTTGATTATTGATTAATTCTCAGGATCATTAATTGATTACATTCAACTAATTGATTATTCTCGCAATGAAATAACTGAAAATGGTAATAATCGAAAGTACTATTTTGTTTAGTTGATTATTTTTGTGAGTTGTGACACTAATCAATTAAGTTGACCAACCAAAAATTAATCTAAAATAGTAATGAAAAATCCTAATGGCAATATTTTGATTACTTAGATAGGTGGAATAAATTAAAGCAGTAATAATCAGATACACTAATTTCAATTAGTTGATTATGTTTGTGACATTAACCAGTCTAATTGTAATTTTAATTAACTTATTATTTTACATTACACTAATTGATGTAATTGATGCTCAAAGATAATTAATTAACCAATTTAACTACCAACCTCTACTTATTTATATAAATCAAAGTGAGAGTTTTCACAATAAGCTCAGTCTTTGTTAAGCACACGAAATTCACTAATGTTGTATAAACATTCTATAATTTGCCCTGTAGATTGTTTGTTAAAGTGAATCATATGTCAGCTTAATCTATGTATAGCATTTAAGAAACCTCATGTAATTACGTACTCTTTATTTGATTGAATAACTTGCAGGTCTTATGTAAAAATGTACTTTAAAGAGACTTGAACATAAGTTGGTTAACTAACTGCAAGCACTCAGACAACAAATGCCACCACTTTTAAAACCCTTCAATGAAAATATGCAAAGTGAACAAGATCTCACTTGAATTACTTGATTTCCCTGCAATATTAATTTTGTTGATGAATTTTTGACTGAAATAATTGTCAACAATGACAATGAGTGGACAAAAATCTACCAGAATGATGATATAAAGTTGGTGTATTGTGGATAAACAAGGACAATTTAACACTGTAACAGTTTTTATCAATCTAACCCTAAGCTCTTACTTTGAGATGGGGTTTAGTTTTGCCAAAGGGACCCACCCAAGCATCTCCACAAGTCTTAGGGTGATGCTGGTGTTGTTGTTCAACCCAATAGGTTATCTAGTCCCATAATTACATTGGTATATTCTACCAACAAGTTGATGAATTGCTGATGCTGCATTGAGTCCACAGTACCTGCATAATCCTCAACTAGCAAACTCAGGTGTATTTGTATTTTGTATTTACTTTTGTAAATGACACAATGGGCATAGCCATAGTAACAGTTACTTCCATTTCATTCACCATGCAAGTGGCTATCCCAGCTTTCAGCTGCATAACTGATTGTCCATAATTGTAGAATACCACTAGGACTTGATCCACCAATGGCAAGATTACTGCCTCGGCTAATGCTATTTGTTTTCTGTTGCTACAGTAGGAAACAATAGAAGCCCAAGTTACAAAGTACTGATGCACTAGACATTGATTGTAGTAAGCTGCAAAACACCATTTGTATAAATGGGGATATTGTGACTTCCTCTACCATACACTCATGAGGTTCACTGTTCCTGGAGTTTTTCTGGATGACACTGTATATAACTCTTCCATGTCTACCTTACTAATGCACAGCATGGTATGGGCAGCTCACATGAAAGTGACCCAACATGCACATGCAATACAGGCATATGTTGCAACATATAAACCATGGGAGAATCATCAGAATGTGAGGGATGGTTAGATCGTGGTGGGTTCCAACCTTTTGTAATAAGGGTACCTGGATAGTGTCATCTGCCTGATGTAAAGTCACTGCAGCTGCCACAACAGGCTTTTCCCTCTTTTACGACTGGATCAAAGGTACTACTTTGTACTGCCTTCTTAGGGTAAGAAAATTTCTCACACCCGGGTGATGCTGCATTGTCTCAATGTGTAGCCCTTCTTCAAAGCTGTCAATGAGGATATCATCATGATCTGCTGAGGTCATTGCAGGCTAGGCTTTACCATGCACAAAAGGCAGAGATCATCTGCTTTCTGTGCTACCCCTCTTCCAAGCCTCTATTTTCTATTGGAGAAAAGGACTGAACCAATTATACTTAAAGTCAGGTATTATACAGCCTGTTATGGAGTCCAGCAATTCTATACAGTTACCTGTCTGAAATGTTATTGCAAATGGTCCAAATCTTCATTCATTGTGCTTTGGAATGTCAGCAGTGATCTGTTTTGCTCTGCTCATGTAGAACCATGACCTTAGCCAGATGCTCTCCTTCCCAGCCATCACCTATTCAAATGTCCTCCAAATTATGAGCATGACATAGTAGGAAATCTCAGGGACACATCATTATAATGAGTGGTAGGCCTTTGCTATAGAGTGGCAAAATAATGAGGTGTTTTCAGTAGCTTGTTCATAGGTTCTGCTCAACCTCAAGATCCTCTGTGGTCCATGGCTATCTCAGCAGTATACCTCCTAACTTCGGAAGGCTCACCACTGGCCATGATCCACTCAATTTGCCTTTCAGTACCTGTCATCTCACTTTTTGATTATATAGTTCTGGTTGGCAGACATCATCCACAATGACACCTCCAAATTCTCTTTAATGTTGTGGGGTTGCTTCAACCAGAGCTGGTGTTGTATTACTCTGACTGGCTTAAGTCTGGGAGTCTTATACAAACCACCATACACAGATTCACACTCTTAAGATGCCAACCCACCTAGACGATTCTCAGATATCCATGTTTCCCTTGCACCGAGGTCAATCCTCAAAGTGAACAGCATGGAGAGCCATACTGGATGTACCAGATATCAGCAGCACTACTTCCTGAGTTGTTGGTTATACAATCTCCTCTTGGTCATAAGTTCTTCTAGTTGTGGAAAATGCTATTTCCTTTGTTACATATTAGAATTTTCAAATAGCTTAAAATTAAGTTAACTTATAATTTAAATTTAGTAGTTAAATTGTACTTTGGATTTAGTAGCTAAGTAAAAGCCAATACATAGTCAGTTTATGATATTTGCCAACATGATTGATACACACCGTTTTCATTTTTAACACAAATATGTTTTAATATGCACACAACAATACAATATACAATAACAGTTATTACAAATAGTTATTACAAACAATGATTTATAAACAAAAGTTTCACAAACTTACAAGCAATATAAAGTCTTCCTTCTAGTTTGGAACTTCCTTGATATCTTGTCGAGGGTTCACGATGAGTGAGTTGATTACGAGTTGATATAGGTACAATTCACTTAGTATGGAGCTAGCTAGCCCTGTAGTTCTCACTGATCACATGCCAATTACAGGTCAAGTTTCACCAATGATATTAGGTAATGTTTTCGCAAAAATACTAATGTCCAATGAGAATCCACTAAATGATTTGTAATGTTCGAATATTGTAAAGGTTTCTGGTCAAATATCTGAAGTTTTCCAATTGATATGCATTATAAACATCACAGTTATAGCTTCCAAAGTTCATAGCACACTGACTATAGCAAACTATTAATAGATACTCTCTCTGGCACATCATTTTGGTTATATTTATAGCCGTGGGAAGGTTTCTAGAAAATTCAGATTACGTAACAATACAATTTAAGTGTTTACGTACACACACATATTGTTGATTCTTAATCTCGAGAATCTTCTACAACTTTGGAGAATAGGCGGGAGTTTTGCATTACATATTTAACAGTATAAGCCATGTGTGCTTCTAAATAAAAATTTAATCCAAACAAACATTGATATTAAAATAAATATATAACAACAAATTCGTTTTAACCTTTAACCAAGAAGTCTTTTTAAACTTAATGCACAACAGTTCAAGTAAAAGGCAGTACACACTTCAACAGATATAGCAAACTTTGTAATACAATATTCTGCAGACACAGCACCAAAATTTTCTCCTATTTATCCACTCTGTGGTAAATCCAGAAAACTGAGTCAACCTTTGAGCTATCAAACAGGCTGTTTAA